TTTCTTCTAAGTTCTATAATAAGACTCTCACATTTTCCTTTCTTCATATAAAATATTATACTCTAATAGTCGAGTGTGAGATAAGATCTGAGATATGTTTATTATTTATTTCCCTACTCAGATGCAATAATGTACTTCAGTAAATAGAATAAATGAGATGTTATAGAGTATGTACTCCGATATATGAGGTGTTATGAGATTCTGTTAACTCTCTTATACTTTTCTGACTCAGCATGTGTACCTTAAACAATAGAGGGTAAGAGAGACATGCGACTCGAATTTCAGAATTGTTTTTGGATCGACGTTATGGGCTCGACTAGTTTTTTTTCTCCTGAGTCATATATGATTTCTATCTATGGGGTATGCCAACAATGAACACTTTTCACTTTGAAATTCACGTTTGAGTTGGTCCTGTGTCTGGTTTTGATTGATGAAGTGTGTATCTTGGGTGTGTATGTTAACTGCGCTATCAAGTCTTGAACTAGGATGCTCAGAAAAACGCCTAAGTGTTCAAGAAATACAGGATGAAATGTGATACATACAGTTTGAAAGTGTTTTGGCATTATTGGTCAGTATTTTCCATGCTTTGTCTTATATGGTTATTTTTTAAAAAGACCCTAAAAATGGGGTATGAGAAAGTCAAAATTTTTGATATGTTTGAGCAACCCTGCAAGACAAGGAAATGTATGTTGTGAATGGAATGAATGTTTTTTTTTCTGCCTTCTGACAAGACAGAAAGTCAAACAAATACTTTTAAAACTTTCTTTATGGATATTTGGTTGACTTTCCTATTGGTTGAAGATCCCCGAGACGTGTGTCTGTCCAACCTGTGATCGAGGTCTGGGAGACACGGCCCCTAAGTGGCTCCGACGATGCCCCTCGTTCAGTGACAATATGACAATCATGATAATTTATTCTTATTGGTGAAATTTTTTGTATATAGATATTCAATGTGATTCATTCATCCAAACTGACGAGGGGAGAAAAATTCTTTGGTCAAATTGTTTTTATATATATTTTAAAAGATCATCGTTCATCCACTCTAGGAGGTCAGTCTCAGGGACTGAAATTACCAAGCCTATGGTGGAAAATTGATATCGTTGGGACGTAACTCCCAGCGTGGGTTGCTGACAAAGTATAACCAGGCAGCAGGCCTTCCGATTACGGCCTACAAATGAAACCTGAGGGGGAGCCTCCTTAATGATAGAATTGGTTGAGGTAGATATCGGAGGGATCAAGAGTCAGGTCTAGAATGATAGCAGAATTTTACCCGATATTGCGTAACCAATAAGGGAACCACCGCTAAAATAACAACGCGGTGGGCCGCAGTTTCGATCTGATCAACCGGCTGTGGTGGGTTGAGGCCAAGGTTGCCGATCCCCTCGCATTAGACTTCGGGTGGGACGGTAAAATCTGACTTAGGTTAAGACCCGCGTCCAAAGGGTGAGATTTAATTTTGATTTCTAACTCCTCGGACACCCAACGAAATCCTGGCAAATCAAGTCCAAACTTGGGCGGAGGAGCTATCATTGTCTTCCTTGGTGACGTCCGCGACTGTAGTACGGATCCAGTATCCTCACTCGGGTTTATATGGAATAATATTTTCTTGGAATTGTCATTTTTGGATATGTGGGAGACCCAGGTTAAAATCCTGGCAGTATAGACACACCAAGGGGGACAGTGAGGGTCTTCAAACCGCAACTTCATCCAGGAAATCGGATTTTGACAACTTGTCGCCTCAGAAGGCCTTTGTTTGCATCTAGTTTCCCCAGCGACGGGGACGTCGCTTAATGGGGTATGGGAAAACTGTCGGAGCAAACACCCTTACAAGGGTATTTGCTCATGACTTTGCATTCGACACAATATCAACGCCAGTTGCCGTGCCGGAGATAGTCTGGATTGAAAAGTGAGAATTTTTTAGCATAACGTCGTAAAGCAAACTTTTCGACCATTGAGGCCGAGATTTATAGGTAATCATACACAGTGATACGAAGCGACAACGCCACCCGATCTCTATCTGTTCGATCCCGCTCATCACCTTGCTGGAGCATGGTTGGCCACGCTCCGAGCTCAGCAGTATGATGATAACGAGGCGCAGGTAAATATCCCCGCACGATTGGAAGAGGACGCCCATCATTGGTTTAGCACCTGCGTATGGGTCGATCTCCCGACATTCGAGCGAGATTTCTTGAATTGATTCGATTACATCCACCCGGAACATGTACTTTTTATGATTAAAGACCGAGTTCAAAAACCTCTCGACTCTGCTACTGAGTACCGGAACCGATTCTATCGAATGTTCGTAAAAACGGAACGAGGCGAACAAGTAGGCAAAGATTTGTTCATCGACGGACTTCGCAGCCGAACGATGAGGGCGAAACTGCGAAACCAGTTTTCCCCTATCAATCACACGCTGCAACAGATCATGACAGCCGCAGAGGAAATGAAACTAAAGTTCGCTGCGAGTTTCCTAGAAGGGGAAGACTACCTTCAGGAAGGAGACTTGTCTGAACTAGCGAGAGCTAAAAATGAATTGACTGCACTACAGAACAAATTCGAAAACATGGGGTTTGTGTCGGGCCCCGTCACCTATCTAGGACAGATTAGTCCCAAACGACCGGTCCCGAGTGCGATTACAAGCATGCCCGTTCCTCTAATGACAGCACCCTTGCCTCCGATCGAGAGTTCCTCACGACCGAATGACTCCTCTTATTGGAACTAACCAAGACACTAGTCACTCTGATTCAGGAAAGCAAAAAAAGAACAGCCGGCACACAACGCGCGAATAGAGGCAATGATGAGGTCGATGCGACCAATCGCGGTGCGTGTCGCCCCGATTCAACACGGATTGCCTCTGGTACTGCCTCCCGCAGGGATTCCTGGCAACTTGAATGTCTGTTACACATGTCATCAAGCAGGACAAATAGCTCGGGATTGTCCGCATCGACCCCCACAACCACGAGTCGGGGCTGCGTCGGTAGCAGCAACTCCAATTGCTAACGGGCCCGGACGTGTAGGAGCATTAATGGAAGAAATGGAAGGAGGAGGAAGCACGTTAGCTACAATGGAGGAAGCCGCTGAGCTTATTCCATTGGATCAGTATATAACGCGTGGTTACCCGGGGCTCGGGATGATTGGAACCATTAGACCGGCGCCAGAACAAAGAGAAGTGGCGGAGTGGCGACCTTCTCCAGGGGAAATGGAGTCGGGAGGACCCACCTTCGTCCCGGGGGAAATCGATGTTCTCAACATCGTTCGAGCCGTGGATCATCGGATCCCTCTTCCGATCGGTCATCTACTTTCGATATCGGAACAAGCCGACGAACGGATGCTGCAACATTGCAAGGCGAATCGAAAATGATTCGCCCTTGCCCGAACAACGAGCACAAAAGCAAGAAATCCCACGCCAGATAAAAATGCAGCAGGTACTTCAGATCCGATATGATTAGGATTGATTAAAAAAGATGATCATTTCCTACAGATAAAACCAATATCATGGAAATCCGCAGAATGCGATATCGAGGTATGGGGAATCCCGTGCAACGCTATCATTGATTCCGGGGCCGTTGTCCTAGCTATCTCATTACGGGTAGTTGAAAGGGCAGGAAGAAAAAATGATTTAGTCATGCTTACGAAAAAAGAACATCTCGTTTCAGTAGATGAAGAGAAGATTAAAACGGTGGGACAAATGACCAATGTTGCTTTTCGATTAGGGAAAGTACATGCTTGGGGAGATGTCGTAGTTTTAGATGTAAGTACTTACGACGTCCCTTTTGGCCTTCCCGCCCTGGTGGCCTTGTGAGCCAATCTGGACTTCGAGAGGCGATCGATTGTCCTCCGAAACACAGGAGGAAAACCCTATGTTCTACCTATGAGACTGACTCTTCGAACCACGACTAACGTAACCCCGCGAGTTTCTCCAATAATGGCGGGAACTCTTCTCGTGATTACCTGGGATAGCTCAGCTGACGGAGGGCAATCTCTGAAGGACGCAAACAACAGTGACGAAGACGGCCCAATAATTCTAGAAATGGCGCAACAACGTATCTGTTACCCCGTACATCGATCAAACACGAAATCACTAAGCCTGACTGATCAGAATCTACAAAGAATGCAAGCCATGATTATGGGTGAACCCCTCGTACAAATTTCGAGGATGATCGATTCTTTGGACCCCCCTCGAACCCTATACGAAGGTATCTCCCCCTTACTTGCACGATATAATGACAAAAGACACTACTGCGACATCACAAATCTCCCACGATCTCTTTTGACACCTGCAAAAGAGATATGATTATTACGCTTAGAGGCGGAGACCAATTCTTTGGAACCCCTTGAGCGCCTCGAAACTGGGTTGGAATCAAAATCGCAACGAAACCCGTGCCATGGCAGGATGTTCGAGACGGAATAACACCAGAAAAACACGTAGTCATTCAGGAACAGGACACACAGATGATGGCCACGGTATTCTCTTGGCAATCGGATAATTCGTTTATTTCCGCTCCCCCACCCGAAAACACTAAGCGGGTGAGTACGAAACATATCGATGTACGGATATGGGATGAGTTGTACGAGTTGCACGTGCCCCAATACGTACCTGAGGAGATCCATCACCGAATCGCGGAAATTATAAAAGAATACAAATGAGCGATTAGTATGACAGACACAGACAGTGGACTGTCGTTAGTCATACAGCACGAGATACAAACCGGAAACCATCCCCCGATTCACTGTAAGCCCTACGGATACTCCCTGGTAGAACGGAGAACAGCCCTTCAGTGCATCCGGAAGTTCGAAGTCAATTGATGGATCGAACCCGCCACTGGGCCATGGTCGTTCTCGGTAGTATTAGTGTCGAAGAAGAACGGATCAATTCGCATATGCATCGATTATCGCAAGCTGAATGGCATCACGATTAAAGATGTGTACCCCCTTCCCAGGATTGATGATTTGCTGGATGCGATTGGATGTGCTAATTATTTTAGTAAATTTGATATTCGTCACGACTTCCATCACATTCTGGTTAAGGAGGAAGATCGACCGAAAACGGCCTTCATACTGTTTGAAGGCACGTGGCAGTGGGTTCGGTGTCCGATGGGGATTTGCAACGCGCCTGCCACGTTTCAGCGGGCTATGAACGTGACGTTCCAGAACTTCGTCAACAAGACGCGGCTCACTCAGGGGATGATTAACTTTTGTGTCATCGTGTACATGGACGACATTCTCGTCTACTCAGAGACCTATCACGGGCATGCACAGCACATCGAGTGGACGATGGGAGCTCTGAGAGACGTTGGGTTCAAAATCGTGCTCGAGAAGAGCGAGTTTTTCCTCTCGGAAATCTCGTTCTTGGGTTACGTGGTGACACGTGGAGGATTGCGACCAGACTCGAGGAAAGTCGCGGCGGTGAGAGTTGCTCCTTTCCCCACGTCAGTGACGCAGGTTCGAGCTTTCCTGGGGCTGGCATCGTACTATCGTCGCTTCATCAAGGGCTTCGCCTCAATTGCACGACCTCTGACAAACCTGCTACGAAAAGACCAGCCCCTCAGTTGGGATGCAGAGTGCGAACAGGCCTTCACCACCCTCAAGGACGCCTTGGCGACGACACCTATTTTGATCCGGCCGGACCCTACGAAGCAGTTTATTCTTATCACGGACTGGCAGTCGGACGGGATCTCCGCTATTCTAGCGCAAAAGGGGAACGATGATCGAGAACACGTCATCGAGTACGCATCACACACGGTGCCAAACGAGTGGAGGAACGATTCGGCCCCACAAGGTGAATGTTACGCAGTGGTCTGGGGAATTCAACACTTCCATCCGTATCTTTACGGACAGAAGTTCCTCCTTGTAACCAATCACGAGTCATTATTGGCTCTCAAGAAGCTCACTAATTTTACGGTTATGATTGGACGATGGGCGATGCGCCTACAGGAATACGACTTCAACATCATCCATCGAAAGACTGAGAGGCACGGCAACGCGGACGGGTTGGCACGTCTGCATCGCCCTGCTAAGGTACCTAAGGTTGAAGAAATCATTTCGTGGAAGGAACTTAAGTCAGCGAACGGACCCAAGTACGAGCAAGTGGCAGTCCTTCCACGTGGCAAGAAGTAGGCAATTGGCAATGGGTGACGGAGGTAATCTGGCAACGCCTCTCTCCCCCCTTTCATCCTCGTCTCTCCTTTCCCTACCCGGCAAATTTTGTTAATTTTGCGAAGCAATCTCGCGCGTCTACTCGATTTCTATGCGTCCTAGTGACGAAGGGTATGTAGAATGGATAGATTGTCGACAGTGTGTCAAACGAGCCCATGACTCGTGCATCCAGTACGGAAAAGGCAATAAGCCTTGGTTGTGTCCCTTGTGTCGGATTGGTAAGATACCGACTGAGGCTCGGTTTCTCGACGCTATGTCAGAAGGGTTAGAGAAAACCCGAAAGTTTAGAAGGGCCGAAGTCTGGACGGACATAGCGCTAATTGCCACCTTAGTGGGTAACCCCCTCCAGGACTTTACTAAGGAAGACAGGAGGAGGGCCAATGAAAGGGCTAGGGATTATTGCTGGAACGAGAGTCGAATAGAAAAACGAAAGACGGATGGTAGTGGGATTTGGATGGTAGTACCGCACCCGTTCATGAGGTATGACTGGGTTAAGACAGTGCACGAAGAAACTGTAGCCCATTTTGCCGTCCTAATCACGGAAGCGGCAATCGATAAGAATGAATGATATTGGTCCAATATTCGCGATGATGTGAAATTCATCGTTGCGAACTGTCAGGTCTGCGCCGCTGACAAGGCGCCGATCCAGCCGCCAAGATCGATAGTACCGACGGTAGTTGAACAGCCATTTCAGAGGGTCGAGAGGCGGTTAATGGAAGGCCCAAAATTCGGCGAATTTTGACGAATGTTTCACTGATTTTTTCGGTTATTTTTTGCCTGATTGTTTTTTTGATGTTTGTATTATGACCCTGCATAGTTTGTTCGCAAAAGTTTTGACAACATTGCTTGTAGCGACGCGGCGAAAATCCCCGAATTTTTGGTCTTCCATCAACCGCTAGTGTACCAATATTGTGGTGCCCCCTGGACCTGAGAGCTGCGAGTATTCAATCCTACTGGTATTCGTAGACCACTTTTCAAAATGGATTGAGGCCTATCCGTGTCGTACACGATAGGCGGCTGAAATTGCGCGATATGTCAACCGGTTTTTAGGGATGCACCAGGACACAGAGGAAATCTTGACTGACAATGGGGTAAAATTCAGAGGGGAAGTTTTAAGGAATCTGGTCGTACACGGCGTCGCTATTCGAAACACTGCGCCCCACATGTCACAATCTAATGGCCTAGTAGAAAACACAAATCGGGTGATAAAGACAGCGTTGCGACGAAACATCGCGGCACGGGATCCGAGGCCCTGGCCCGATATCGTAGATCACATCCTGGTGGTCCATCGGGGAACGCCTCACGAATCGACGGGCCTTAGCCCCTTCCAATTACGGACCAATAGCGTAGCTTATGTCTCGATACCGAGCCTCCCCGATGAATCTTCATTGAACTGACGGCCCATGAGAGCCACGGTTCGGGACAAGGCCAAGCGGAACATGGAGTTGAAGGAACGGTCGCTTCCCCGACTAGCTCGAAAGCGCCAGAAAATGACTGAGTTGGCCCACGACCGACAGGTTCGTAGCTACAAGGCCCGAAATGGGAACGCAGGACCGCGGCCCCAGTATAAATTAGGGGACCTGGTGCAGGTGAGGAAATGTGCTCCCCAAGGGAAGATAGCGCCACGATTCTTCGGGCGGTTTCCTGTGATCGAACTCGGCCCGAACGGGGTGAACATCGTGCGCCTCGTGCCGGAGGTCTCGGGAAGCTGATCGGCTCGACCGATCGTCTGCCACGTGTCCTACCTACGTCTTCTCCCTTCCTCTCCATCTCCAGCTGTGTCTGCTTCCTCCGTCGCTACAGAGGAGGACGATGACTCTTTACCGCTCTCTGCCCCTCCTGCATCTATCGCCCCTTCTCATACCTCATCCCCATCGCCATCGCTATTACCATGAGTTTTCTCACTGAGCAGGCTCTCAGCGATCACATGTTGGCGCCACGTGGTGACATTTTGACAATTCGGCAAGTCCATCACCCGCGATTCAGTCTGGATCTTCTAGGGCTTGCGCAGTTCTTCTGTACCACGGGAGTGTACGTGGCGGCGGAGTTCCGATTCACGGGCCATTGTCAAGCGATCGTGTTGCCAGAGGCGACGGCGGTTCGACGGTTGTCAGCAATGGGGGTTAGCCACGTGTCTACCGTCCTCATCTTCAGCGGTGATCTTAGCGCGATCGACCCTCTACGACACACGGCCATTCAGACATCGCTAAGGGAGTGGGGCCAGCAGCTGGCAACGGAGTGGAATCAGTGGCTTACGCGCCGCGACGACAATCTTGTCCCCACGGACAGCATTGACGTCAGAGGGCTCCGAACGTCTCGGCATGAACCGGTGGTGGTGCTTTCGGAGTTTGTTACCTTCCAGCATCCTCAATGAACCGCTCCCTGCTCTCTACCTTTGCTCTCCCAGCACTCTTCCCTACCTTTTGGCAGTCTGACCTTTGCCCCCGCCTTTCCTCTCGTCTGGAACCACTCGCTGTTCCCCTCCTCGATCTAAAATAGTGGGAACTGTGGTGCGAGCACTTCGTCGATCTTTCCGTGTGTCTGGTTGGAGCTGACGTGGACAAGGGACATTGAACACCGTGCTTGGACCGAATACGTGGAGCTGTTGATCACCATAGCTTGGAGGACGGAGGTGGAAGGAGACCTTCTCGGATTTCTATCCGGCTCGGTGCGGCCCGACCTTCGACAGCTGATCGTACAGGAGCTCACGATTCCTCTCGCGAAGCTGGTCGACGACCTCCCTCTCAATATCGTTTCGCAGTGTGATGAGAACCCTGTCCCGAACGTCCTTTCACGAACTCTGAGTCCCTATCTACAGTGGTCGGCCTGCCTCGAGGAGCAGGGAGGTAACAGCAACCCGCCATCGCAACGAGAATACCTGGACCCGCAGAAGATAATCGACCCAGCCTTCTTTCAGCCTCGAACGGCCTCCGAAGACGAAGGGCTAACGCTAGAGGAGGAAAAAGAAGAGGGCGTAGAGGAAGGCGACGAGGAGGAAGAAGAGGAAACCTCGGAAGAAGCAGGGAGTTACAGTGAATACAGCGAGGAAGAGTCGGTGGAGAAGAAGAAGAAGAAGAAGAAGAAGAAGAAGAAGAAGAAGAGGGTCAGTTAGAGGAAGAGGAGGAATCTGAGTGGGAGACTTTGGGTGAAGAGGCGGAATGCGCAGAGACTGAGGAGGAGGATCCCGAGGCGGCACGAAGGAGAGAGGAGATCGCAGCCGGGAAGCAGTCGCTGGAGTTCGCAAGTGGTGTGGATTTGCCGATCCCGAACGACCCGACCAAGGATCCCGCGCCACCCAAGAACGACGATGGGAACCTTGCTGGCGAGACTTCGAGCGCACCGGCCCGACGTCGACGAAGCCGATTCCCCTCCCCCTCCACCTCCGCCCGTCCACCAGTGCAAGCTCGTACCGATGCGGGGCATCGGGCTTCGTCCCCGGTCCTTATCCCGTCGTCCCCTTGACCACCTCACCCTCCGCTAGATCACCACCCGCATCACCTTCCCCCACAATCCCTTTCCGATCGACACCTTCCGCTTTTTCTACGCCACCCGTCTTGCTGTCACGGTTCATCCCCATCCCTCTACCCGATGTGCCACCCCTGTCTTCTGTCTCCACGCCCTTCTCTTCAGCGCCACGTGGCGAGGCCACAATATCGTCGAGGTTTACTGCATGATCACGGGGACTATCCCCACATGCGAAAACCACGATCACTTCCGCACGACACTCTTTCGAACTTTCACCACCCTCTACCCCGACTATCTCGCATCCCTTCCTCATAGTGGTAATCGATTCGCTCACTTTCATCGGATCATCCGATATCATGAGCTTCCGGTGACAGTCGCGGGATTAGAACGCTTTCTACCCCCCCTCCCGACTAGCCCACCCCCTCGCCATGCCCCCGTGTATCGTCTTCCCTTTCCTCTCGCCGTCGGTCATTGATGCACGGCTGATTGGCGCGAATAATCCCCTCTTAGGATTGACGAGAGCCCTTCCTGAGGAATGTTTAGGAGAGAGTCACGTTTGCCACCCTGGATGACTTCCACACTCCTTCGCACGGTTGGTGGCAACGTAGAAAGCTCCGCGTGTCGATCGATTAGAGAGATCGACATGTGTCATAATGACAAGCAAGCAGGAGCTTGCTTAAGATTGGAACCCCCTGGGCGTCACATATGTGATGAACCAATTTTTGTTCTGCGCAATTTTCTGCGCGATGACAATGAGGGGTCCTAAGATGGGAAGGATGGGCCAATTACGGGAGATCAAGATTGAGGGGAAGTTGTATCAGTGACCTTACTTTTTCGTCTTTTTACGTCGCTTCTTTTCGGATGGTTGGGTTCAAGGCTGGGCAAGTCCTGGGATGATCGGTTGAGTGTCACGCCGATGAGCGCACAAGTAATAATGGTTGACGTCGTCTCTTTTTTGCTCGGGCTGTCGGATTTTAAGCGCGGAGATCGCGCGGGAATTTTGCTTCGTTCTTTTCGAATTTTCCTTTTCAATCTTGTCGAGCCCCGATGACTCTTAGAATTTCAGACTTTCTTTTCGGGATTTGCGTTTTATTAAAAGTTCCTTTTGCAATAAGTTTAGGAATTTTGGAATTGGGGATTTCTTTTGCCGCGCGCTGCTTGTGCTTGCGCGCTTCTTTTTGCGGCTGCAAAGAAGCTCTGATTAGTGGCGCCCTTAATCTTGCAAGTAACTATAATTTTGGGCGGGCGCCATTGTAACTGTATCTTTCTTCTTGAGCTTCGTCTTTTCCGCTCCCTCTTTCCCTTTTGCTGTGCCTAGTTAGCCCGCGACCTGCATGCTCGGATCGATGCGCGGAGAGTGGCTACGTCCCCCACGCCGCGGTCTGGCCATGCAGAACGTAGGCGCTCCCTCTCCTAATCTCCTTTCTAAGCCCTTGCAATTCCGTGTTCTTCGCGCATGCATGCATGCTATAAATTCCGGCTGCGCGATTAGATATCTCTCTTAACCAGTTGTTGGAAGCTCGGGGTAGCGCGATCAGTGAGGGTCGGCTCACGAGCGAAGTAAGAGGTGAGTTGAAGTGGGAGTCGGGCGACCTGACGAGCTGGTGCCGAATGCGTGGGGTTGACGCGTGGGGCTACTACGGACTATAGAGCGCGGGCGAACCTGACGGGTGCAGGAGGACTAAGCGGGGTGATGACTTCGTAGGTTGGTGCGTGACGACGGACTGTCCGCATCGGAGAGAGAGAGGGAGGGAGAGAGCTGAGGTTGATGGACGTGGATTTGCAATTTTCTTTATCTTTTCTTCCGATCTTGTGTATATAAACTTTGATCTCGGCTTCGGGTGATTCGCCCTTTTTTTTGTTGTTCTCGGCATTTTGTCTCGGCTTCGGCCTATGTCCACCTGTAATTAGCTATAATCCTTCCTACTGAGTGTTTGATTGCCTAGATGTTGCGTTGCGATGAATAAATGATATGTTGTCGTTTTTGCCTAGTCCTCATCATTGTTGTCACCTTGACCCGCTGTAATAGGGAGTTCTGATGTTGCTGAGATGTCTGATGTGTGATGACACCTTGCATGCTCGGAAATGACTGTTGTGGGATTACTGAGTGATTAGATGATTGGGTAGCCGTCCATGACACGTGGCGATTTTGCATGAAGAATTAAACTCTCACCTTTCTCGGGTACAAACGAACACCCCGCGGGGATACGTGTAAGCGCGATCTGATCTGCGCAGCCCACACGTATCCACGCGCGGCAATTAGCGATCATTAACGAACCTGGCACCTCCGGTAGGCGGGGAAATTTTCCTTCTTTCGCGCACCTACGCTGGTAGGAATTTCCGATACCATATCGGGAAATCCCCTTAGATACGTGCGGAAGACTTCCACTACACCGCGATGACAAGATGACGTACACAGAGAACTCAGAGTACTCCGAACCTTGGGTAAGAGAATATCTTAGGCAGAGACGCCCCGAATTTCCCTGCCTAACCGAGAACCGATTGTGCCCCAGGGAGTTTCCCTGTGCCGTAACCAGTGATCCAAGGTGGCTCGATTACCCCACTACGCATAACATGCAATACTTCATATCCCCCGGCTTCGTCGTTATCACTACCAATTTCCCTCTCTTCCGTCTCCTCCTCCCGTACCACCAACTCATGGTGATACCGTGGAATTCCATCGCCCCGTATTGGCCCCGCACGCCGTGCAGAAACTGCAGACGACACGGACACCGCCGAACCCCTGGAACTACGGAGCCTAACCATAACACGCGGCGACAGGCGCCATGTGTCTGCACTCGAAGGTCCGACTCATAGGAATCACAACCCTCACGAACGGGCCTGTCCCGAACCGCCGTCACCAAAACAGACGGATCGGACGGCCCTTGGTGCCCCACGCACGCCATCTGCCTTATGGCTGCACGACAATCGACCGCCATCAGACCGGAGGTAACCCGCCCCTAGTCTTATTGCACCTATGCCCCTGAAACCTTGCCACAGGAGATCTCAGTTCCGACCTGGGACTCCACCCCCACTTTCCCCAAAAATCCTTGGCACACCCCTTTCGCACTTCCAGGCCCACATCCCACTCCGATCAGGAAGTCGCGTCGGGCGTGAGGTTGGGCGTCACAAGCCCTCATCCTAACCCCTCCCGTGCCTAGTGGCTGACGCCCCCACATCTCCAGCTACTAGCAACGGGTCTCCCTACGCTAATCTTGCCTCAAGAAACCTACCAACATCGACCACAGTCTGTACTAAGTCTCAATGTCATCAACCTTTCCTGATGCTATGAGTGGTGTGCAGGTCTGTTGGTCCTGCATCCCTACACACGACCTCATCCATGCAATCTACTATCGAACCTACTGAGCTACTGTAGAAACTGAACGATTTATGCGCAATATCGGTCTGGAAGGCAAATGAAAAATCACACCCACTTTAACCAATTATGCAAGCATGCAAAGAACCACTAGAACCAACAGCATCAGGCAAACGTCCCACAGCCCAAACCGAACATACAACAACCATGGACGAAGACCCCTGGGTGGTGCGCAAGCCTGGGCTGCTCCTGGGTGGTGCGCAAGCCTGCGTCAGCCCAGGGGGGGTTGCAGATGGGTATACGTTATGTAAACGTCCGCCAGTGTCCATGCGCATGGATGCAGGGTTTTGCACATTTCCAACCGGTGCCCTAACCACTGGGCCACGTAGGCCAGTTGTATTATGAGACACAAAGCTGAAGATCCTCCGTTCCTCTGTAGAATCTTAGCCAGTACTCGGGTCACAGCTACGCCAGCCACACTACTTTGGACCGTGGACCAGTACCTGGAGCCCGTTTTGGTACCTCGATAAGTCTGTACTAAGGTGACAGCTATGCCAGCCAAACCTTGGGCCATTTCTCAATTTATGCGTCATCCTTTTTTTTTTTTTTTTTTTTTTCACTGAGTACACAGTGATCACCTGGAGCAGAATTTATGTGTCATCCTTGTGTAGGGGCCATGCTATCTTCTCCGTATCATTCCAATTTAATGGATGTCCCAAAGGAAAATTCAAGCCTTGGGCCCTTCTCTCTTCGTTAGGGGAAAAAAGGAAAGAAAAAGTGAAGCCAAAAAAATTAGAAATGCTGGTCTACTTTGCTAACCCAAAGAGGGTGACCGAGCTTGCTGAATCCGTAGCTTAGATGAAAGGGCACCAGGCAGGGTTATTTGCAAAAGTCATTCTTTCTGTTTTCCCCTGTCGGAAGGACCTTTGTTGCCACTGGTTCCCGGTTCTGGCTTCTGTGCTTGGTGTCCTGAGCAGCTAGGCTGGCTGGCTGTCCTCCCTTTCTTCCTCCCCCACTCATTGAACTCGTGGCTAATCCGGCACACTATTCTTATCTCCTTTTGCTGAGTACCTTGGCCCGTCACGGCTCCTCGCCCTCTGCCTTGTCTTTTTGTGGTTCCACTGCGTTAGGCTTGCCTCGTCTGTCTGCTTCTAGTCCCTTGATTCCGCCAGGCGATGTGGAGTTGTTGCTCTTGGCAGCCTTCCTGTATCTTTGTCGCTTCTCCCTGGGCATAGGGGGTGGAGGGGTGGGGGGATTGCAGGTAGTGGAGGGGTGGCGGAATGGTTTGAGGATAGGGGGAGGTGGGAAGAGGGGTAGTTTAGGGAGAAGGGACGAGGATGAAGTTCTGATCTAGGTGCGGTACTAGAAATCTATGCACCCGG